CAGAGATCGGTTCTTCTTCTTACACATTCCTTATTAACTTGGTTGGTTTAAATGGAAAATATCAATTGAACAAATAAAACAAGGAAATTAAAAAAGAAAGAATAAATAAGCTAAAATTGTTGTGGCATCGAGATAAACCAAAACAACCCCGAGTAGAAAGTAATCCCTTAATCACCAATCACTGTACTGAATGATAAACAGTAATAAGAGTAAAATCATGAAGCTTTTAAAGACAAAAAAAAAATAACAAAAAAAAAACAATGCCATAGAGAAAATGATACTTTCCCAATGACACCGAATCAAAATTGCTGATGAAGCAAGACGCCACTGTGGTTGTGGAACGTCTGCGTAATTGAGAAGTGAATATACAATGGAATGTAAAAACCTCAAGAATGAAAAACGCCGGACGACAACTTGAAACGAGGGAATGGTGCGCAAGATTACTTTGCGGTGAAGCTCAACCTGCGCGTATAGAAAATCGCGGTTTTTCAAAGCAGGGCATTATTCCGCGCAGAATAGGTCATTGACAGCTAATGCAGCGCTTCTAAAAGGATAAAAAAAATCTTTGGACAATAGAACAATTTGCACGACCTGTGCTCGCACAGCTATCACCTGGCCATTAACCACTTCTGGCGCGTACTTATCAAGGCGTTATTAGGCAAAATATTCTCATTCTCAAAGAAATTGCTTCTGAATACGTTATCCTCTATAAGGTCAATTTCGTCAAAAATTGTCTTTCAATAGAAATTTTAAATAATCGCTCAGAAAAAAACTTTAATGCTATTAACAAAACGTTCTCACAATTAGCAGGTTTGATAATGAAAAAAATGTTTGAAAAGCTATATGCTTTGCAACTCAGATATACCACGGATCTATAGAAGTTTTTCTGTATCATAATATGCCAGTGTTTTGAATGGTGAAAATTCAGGTTTTAAGCAAATGAGTTGCAACGTTTCTTTATTGAAGCTTAATTCTCTAGAATGCATCACAGAGAATTTTAATTACAGGAAGATGTAAGAAGGGCTGTTGCCTTTTTAAAACATGCCACAATACCAGAGAATGAAGAGTTAGCAAAGAGTACATGAAACAAGAGCATAAAATCATCTCAGTTAGGTATACGCTTAAAAAATAGCATGACAAGGGGAATCACATAGAAATGAGTTGGTTTAAAACTGGTGACGAGAAAGTATGAATGCGCTAAACCCATACAAAAATTTTCAAGTTAAGCCTGTGTAACAGTTTAAGTGGCACATGTACTGCTTAACACTCACATTACCGAAATGTACTTTGCATTTGAATAAATTGGCATTTAAACGCTCTGCAAATCTTTTGACAAGTGGGTTTCCATTGAGGCAGTTTCTGCAGGGACACACATTAATCAATGTTTTCAGCAAAATTAGCAAAAATGACTTATGAGAAGAATTTTTCAGCATTACAAGGATCATTATAATCAAAATCTAAGGGCAAGCCCTGAGAACCAACAAGTAATTTATTATATAATGTTGTAAATAATGAACAGTTAGAGGAGAATTTAAAAGTAGCAAGACATACCAAGATTTTTCACAACAAAAAACAGAGAATTCACCTAACAACACCTTGTCAATAGTGAAGGATACAAGAAACCACAATTCATAAATTGAAATTGTCAGTTTTCATTGGGTATATATGTGCATTTCATAAAAGGGGTTTTTTAGTTGAACACAGCCCTTGTTTTATTCAAAAATTAGAGTACAATTGATTTATAATAGCTCTCTCATCAAAACAAAAAATATCACTATTTCCAAATTTGATACCAAGAAATAACATAATGATTATGAATGTCATTTTTTCAATACCAAAAAAACCAGCTTGGAATAATGAATTTTTACCCACAAGAAATAGAGATTGGCAAAAGGTTGACCCTGAAACATCTGATTAATCCTGTATGTCTTCAATGCCACCTAATAATAGCAGGAATGCATGAGCTTAGGAAAAATGACAAAAACTGCTTAAATTGAGCAGCTCAGGAAAGGAATCAGTCTCAACCTTTTTTCGAAACATTCATATTAGAAGCCCTAAAGACAATATTCTATCCCTAAAACAGATGGTGCTAACAAGTGACTAAGGTCAGAAAATGCTTGAAATAGCTAAGGTTAATGTATTTTACCCAATACAAAATGTATGCATGTTCATTTAAAATCAAGTGGACAGAAACATAATACTTGTCTAGGATATTTTTAGTTGCTAATATTTTAACTGTCTTAAATTAGGAAGATTGTACTATACTATACAAAGTATTAAGTTTTTGCTTTTCTGCAATTTGAAACTAAGAAGCTAGTTACTCTTTCAAATATTGTTCAAATTAATTAGAAATAGACTGTATACAGATAATTCAACAAGAAAACCAAAACTGCCCTTGAAACAATAGAAAGTGAAAACCAATTCTACAAAAACTGTGTCACTGACACAAAGCAACAGCAACACTTACTTTTCCTGGGTCATCTTTACTTCTGGCAACTTTTACAAAGCATTTGTTTAATGAAAGGTTGTGTCGGATTGAATTCTAGAGAAAAGGAATGCAAAAAACACATTAAAAGGCCAGAGTAGACATAACTAGTCTTGAATCATGGTAGCTGATATTGGAATGAAAAATTGTGTTTGATTGAATTCAGCCAAAAAGCAGTTAAAAATACACAAATGAGTGACAAAGCAGAGATAAAATAACTGATCAAATATATTTCAATCATTTTGAAACAGAGCATATGTGACATAAAACCTCAAGACCTCTAATTCAGAACCTAAGAAAAATTATATTTTCCTACATTTGGGAGCAAAATAGGGATACACTTGTTTTTTTGCCATTTGCCTCAAAAAACACAACAAGACAGTATAAAATATCCAATGCTTGCTGGGTTCTTTGTAAAAACTTATAAACTATGCAACTTTTCTTGCATGATTCTGTGAAACATACAAGTGCAGTGGTCTAGACCAAGCTGGCAAGTTTTCTAAGAATATTGTAGTTCCCTTTTCCCCTTATCATAACAAGTTGTAAGGCACATAATTTTCATGACCCTTTAAAGTCTATGGTTCCATGTTATAATGCTGTATAAATAAATTCAATTAGTAATTGTCAGAAATCTTTTTAAATAACCTTATAGTTCTTAAGAAGAAAACCACATAGACAGGCCAAACCAGCGTTGCTTAAATAGGATTACACAGTGTGATCCTGAATGTATTCAGGAACTTAATTGGTAACATTTAAAGGGAAAAATAGCTTAGTGTTCTTCCCATGAGCTGGTAATACACATAAGCATTAATCAAGCAAATATAATAAAAAATCTAACCTTAAAAAATTATAAAAAATTAATTTTACTTGAGTCCATTAAACCTATATAAGACCTATAGGTGAATCAATCAACTGAGATACTTTTATGAGGAAAATCATTAAAAAGGTTATGGACTATTTTACAAGCATAAAGGAACCCATAATTGATTCTCTGAGAAATCTCAAAGCCCAGCAGGCCCAATGTCTACAAGAATTATAATTTGAGAAGACTTCCCGACAAACATGCCATTGTAAGTATCTAAAACTATCTAAAATAAGAAGTCCTAGCTTCACACAAAATTATTCAAAACTACATCATCGTGGGCAGACATAGGTCTTTCACATTTCAAACAATTATTTCATTAACTGACTTCTTCATGATACATATTTAAGGGCAGATTGACACATAAAATTTTGATTTCTTTCTTGCTTGCATGCTTGCATCCTATGCTCTTGATTCTTTTAATAATTAAATTATCCTTTGGTCCCCAAAATAATCCTACTCTTTTTATCCTACTTTATCTTTTTATCAGATCTTTCACAGCTGGTTTAATCTAAAAATTTCTCAATTAAACCTTAAACATATTGAGTATCTACATTAGACATTAACAAACATGCTTATCACCTTATATTATATCTACTTCTTAAAATTTTCTTCAAAATATTGTAACCATTAAAAGTAGTCAAACAACTTTAATAGTAGTCAAACAACTAGGTAAGTTTAATTTGTTTTAGAGGGAAAAAGCTGTAAAAATGTCATAGTAATATATCAATCTTTAACTAGATAATAAAGTAGAAGATAGGGTAGAAATGAGACATGTTCTCTGTTACATAGAACATGACTAATTTCTAGCCTATCTTCTATTTTATTATATCTATTGCTCTGTGCTTTTGCACATCGAGCACTGTCACGTCAGAATAGTCAACGCAATCTGGAATATTAATCTTTAACTATATATGCTTTTCGGAAATATTGTTTTTAAATCATCAAACATGAAACTATATCAAAGTTTCCATTAATGTTTCGTGGCAATATTTAAGGATACTCGCTGGATTTCGGGCTCGCAAACAATAATTAGCATTGAATGTTTAAATAACACATTTCCTTTTGTTTTTGATAAAGCAAAATTTACTCCTGTACACAGGCTTAAAAGAAAGGTTCATGAAACTCTCTTATAAAAAGGACATCGCTGTATAAATTTTGTAGTTATTTAACTAGGAAGGTATTTCAATAGAAGAATCCCAAGCAAGTAAACGAGAGAGAAGCTTTATTGAGAAATCAAAGAATTGAGCGTGAAATTGCCGCGCGTCGTGGTAACTATGGACAAGCACATCTTTAATGTCATATTTGGGAAGGAGAAAATTATGATAGATTAAGGAACGATTCACATTGAAAATAATACATGAATTATCTCAGGATATTTTAAAACAATCACTGCTAACGTTTGGAGGAAATAAATCAGTTCCTGGAGTCAGAAACTTTAGGAAATCAGGTCTATACCCGGGAGGTGTATGACTTTCTATTCAATGCCGTGCAAGCATCAGAGGGTTTCCAAACACAAATCTCAGCGCAATTATGGGTTGAAAAGACTTACTTTCCATCCATTGCCGGCTTCCCTATAGTACGGGAAATTTTCGCATATCCAGTTGTAGATTTCATTGAGAGTCATTTTCTTCTTAACAGTACTGTTGATAGCAAATGTAATTAAATTTGCGTACGAATACGGAGGCTTGTTCTTGCCCTGATGCAGCTTAGCTTGTTGTTCGTCTAGAGTGGCCGTTGTATCCAGTGCAGAGCCAGGAACCTGTCTCAAAGCAAATCTCGGCTTTAAGCTATCGTCAGCTGATGGACTAGCTATGGGGCCACCAACACCAAGCTGGGGAAGCCAGTCCATCGCTGTTAAGCTCGAATTCAAGTCAGCCATTTTCGTGTTCCCGCATTCGACCGTTCTCAACACGTAACAGTCAGTCTACCGGTTAATAACCGCTGCGACGGCGCCCATTAAAATAAGCACAAAGAAAGTATTTAGCATTCTTCCAAAAAATATTTCCTGCATTACATTTTAAAAAGCTTTACATGTTAAAAGCTTTGATTGTGGTTTTCAGTTTGAATGTAGACGATGACATTCTTACTGCTTGTTGTGGACAAAACTGACATGAATAGTGATAGCTATAATAATTACAATATTAAACCTCAATATTAGTTAAAAGTTCAATGCAGGTCATGGTGCCATAAATACACTCTCTAGAACGAACCTATCAATACAAAAGTAATCGATACACTTACACTACACTTTTGAAGAGCTGCAACTCTCCCAGATCATATTTCTCTTACGCCTCTCTCCCCACCGAGGACTCCTGTAACGGGGAGCAGCGGGAGTAGTGGCCCACTTAACCCGCGTGAAACTTAGAAATTTTCTTCATTATACTGTTATTTTTCCCTTTCCTTAGCGCTTTGCCATCTTGCGCTCAGGGGCGGACTAAAATGGTAGTCATTCTTAGTCGTAAGCAAAATGATCGCCCACCGCACACGTGAAGCAAAGTTACACGAATGACAAAAAACATTTATCATGTTGAATATTTGGCTTTCGGTCAGAATGTGATTCTAGATTAAATAACATATTTATGGCTCGGTTAGATTTCATTTAGAATATTATACCTTAAACATTTTTTAAAATTGTACCATATATTCATTTTCTACTTATTCTTCATAGATAGTTGGCATTAATTAGCTTCTTTATAGCCTGCTTAGATCTAGTACGTCAATTGTAAACATGGGCTCCGACAAAGGTTTAAAAGTGGGGGAGGGGGGCAAGGAAAAATTTAACACCCATAACAAAGGATTTTGAAAAAAACTCTATTTTTTGCAAAAAAGTGGGGGGCCAAGGCCCCCCGTCCCCCCTTCGTCGGAGGCCGTTATTTTTTTACCAAATAACTTGTTACTTGTTATAATTGAAATACAAAATAAACATCATTTCCGTCGGAAATATGCGCACCATGATTATCGAAATTTGAAGCAGTTCAATCCTATTCATTGTACAATATAAATAATCGCAGGCCTAGCATACATCCCTGTCTTAGCCCTGTCTGGTGTAAAAACTACTTTGTTACCACCTGTAATTTTCTAACACAGCACACGTGCATTTGCAATCATTGCTCTTCAGCACATTATGCATAATGCATCTACAAAATATACATGTCAGTTGCCTTCCGAAAATCTATTTAGTATACAGTTTTGATGACGCTACAGCAAAACGCCAAATCATACTCATAATACAGGATAATTGCTCGTCTGCAAATATTTTAGTAAACAGATCTTTTCTCACAAACTTCACTGTTTTTTGTCACTTAATCATATCAGTCGATAATTCTTAATTTCTTCGAAAACTTTTTATATGTTCGTTAAAGCCGATGTTTATCTGTAGTTTGATCTGGCAATTCTGCAACAATCTTTAAATGTTGAGAGTATTTCTCCTACGCGCCACAGTTCGGGTAATCAAACTGAACTCAAAGTGTTGTTATGATTCTGATTGATGCAGCATCAGTAATAGACCATACGTGTAGTATAAAAGACACCTGCTATCAACGTAAATAATAAGAAATACTGCCCCTTTGAAGGGTTTGGCAACATCCTTACTCGGGCCCTTACCGTCTGACACAGTCACCCTGGAGTTAGAATGTCAGGCCTCATTCTCTCTAATAAATGTGAAACTCAAATTATTTCCAAAAGAGAAAAAGTTGTTCAATTGCAGGGTATATGCGTGTAGTATGGAATGTGTGTACTTTGAAATACAAGTGTTCTTTTAAAAATAAATTCAGCTTAGCCCAGTTCAGTACTGAAAATTCCGCAACTGACGGTAAAAAAAATATAGGGTCAAAGATGTCTGATAACAATTCACAATGAATAATTGGAAACAAAAACAACTGACGTGAAGAATTTTGAGTTCACTCAACGAAACAAAACTACACATTTTTAATTGTGTCAAATCTCTATGATGCTCGAATCCATAATAGCAGCTCTAGGTCATCAATTGCTAATCTTATTTCTTCAGAAATTTCTTGGCACCTCCAACCCTGTAATTACTTCCTCATATCGATATTGAATTGCATTGCAGGGCATCAAAATCTAGCGCGCTGGTTGCATTGTTGCATGAAGAAAACATGGCGTCGAGTAGTGGCCCTGACACAGACCCGGAGGATGCATTGAAAGAGCAGAAAGGAGGTATCTAAAAAGTTACAATTTTGTGCCTTTTTCATCTTTAATCAGTAAGATCATGGTCAGGTTTATCTGAGAGTATTAATATGTATTGCAGGCTATGCCTAGATATGTAAAAGGACAGAGGAGGAGGGACGTCCCTCTTTGATAACATCACCTCAGCAGCACGTAAAAGACTGTTCACCATTTTCCTACAGAGTTACTTGAGGGAGCACCGTTTGCACTGGGTTTAAGCCACAGGTGAATGTGTTTGCATGTGCATTCGAATGAGCAACACGACCGTTTCCTAAATTTACTAATTCAATTCCGTGTGATGAAATATTTTAAAAAAGATCAGTCGAACTCTATTTAAAAATGCAAATGTGTGTACGTTAAATGTACTCTCGTGTCCGAAGTAGATGCGGAATAAACAGTGTGGTTGGGAAATTTTCCAGATTCCTTTAAATGGGAGAGGGGTTTGGGTCTGGAATAAACATGTGGGTGGGAAATTTCCCAAATTCCAATAGATGGGGTTAACGGTAAGAAAAGTCTCTTAAAATTTGAAATAAATGGAGTATCATCAAGACTCTTATTTCTTTTGCTTTTTGCTAAAGATAGAGTAAAGTAAATTCAGAATAGGACAATTTGATAAGAATATTTAGTTCTTAAAACACTAGGAAAAATATTATGATAAACATTGGGACTGGAATAATCATCATTTAGTTGTGGCTTGAGAGTATGTTATATTGTATATGCATTATTCATACTGTCAGCTGAAAAAGATAATACCACAAGCAACTAAAATTATTTCTAAGGCTTTATTCTAGAGGCTGGAAAAAGATAATATATATAAATTAATTTTTTTCAGGAATCTTAGAATATAACTATGGGAGTTCAATAGAATTTTCAAAATCCACCAAATTTTATATCATTTCAGCATAGGCAACTTTTCTAATCTCACCCACATCCTTATCACCCTAGAGCATAAGCAATCCTTTGGCATGTGAAAGTTTCCACCAAAATAGGACACTTTTTAGGTTGACACGGCCAGTATAAGGGTGGTAAACAGTGCCCTTTCTGGTATGAAAATTGCAGCACTGGCATAGTTAGCTGGCATAGCTAACTAGTTTTAAAGTGAATGTCTATTGCTGCAATCATTGAAGTTCAAGCTGTTATGGTGCCAGTAGCAACTTGTACACTCCCCTCGCAAAAGTATCTGTACAGTCTGAAGATCTATTGCGCTTTCAGAAAAAAACATATTTAGGCTTGCGATAACGACTGTTTAACTTAGTGGTAATCATTTTTTGAGAGACCCTTCCAAAATAATCCAAGACATTAAAATGTTGCAAAACCTCTGCGCTTTTTATCCATTATCATATTTTGTTAAAATGAGAAGCCATTGTACTACAAGCCTTACACAAATTAACTGATGTCAAATAAGCAAAGGACAGCAAAGTCAGGTGACTAGGACTTTGTTAAAATGGACCAATGAAACATGGTAAATTTTTACAAACTGGTTCTTGAGACACAAATAAATTCGAATAAAAAAAATTAAACATGTTTACTCTCAGTTGGGAGAAATGTAAGCATGGAGATGCCACCAATTGCTTATTAAACAAACATAACATTCTGTAACATTTTAGAAGATCTTAAACTTTCTTGCAAATATCACTTATCATTCAGTGCAAGGCTATTAAGCCAAACTATTTCTTCATCGCTGCAAGTTTTGCTGAAATAGATTGGTGCGAGGGTACATTTACAATTCATTATCATTTTCCTTGCAATATTTACCAACAACTTTTGAAAGTTAAATTGTTTGTGAACATTCAATACAATTTTGTGTAATGACCTAAACCAGTTTTAGTGCAAATCAGTAAGGGCAGAAGATTCAGCTGTTGGTGTCGCGAGAGCTCTTGCTTTTTTTGACCGTGACAAATTTTTTATGCTTCTTGTTTTTCAAATTTTTTTGCATATGTTGAAAGCGGCAGTCCTTGCGCATCCAATGATATAAGCAACTTAATGATAGCTTTTTTCCATCATTGTGAAATATTGTGTCTAGACACTGGTCAAAAGTCAATTCTATTTTTATGGTCGCTACCATCTTGTGGAAAAACCCGCGCAAAGTTTGCTCACATATCAATATAATGAATTGTTTCTGATGAATAAATAAACCAACAACCAAAAAGGCTGAAAGAAAAAATTTGAGGAAATGGATTAAAACATTTTAATGAAAATTGCCTAAAATTTGTAAACAACAGATCCGCAACAACAAAATTTGTAAACAACAAATTTCTCTAACAACAGATTCGCAACTAAATTTGAAACTGTCTGGATACTTTCGTGAAAGGAGTGTACTAGCAGAACTCCATTTGTCCAAAGTACTTGTACAGCCTATTGCTTATGTGTGTCTTGTGAGCCAAGCTCCTTTTTGCAATGTTTTTATGAGCTTCTATTTAGTTTCTTTTGTTATGTAACTTTCATAGATGTATTTGTATTTTTATGGGATTGACTCTCACAATCTAGTCCCTAGAATAAATACTGAAAACCAGATTGAATCAAGCCTTTTTTATACCTGATAATTAGAAGTGTAATTTGATGATAAAAGTAGACTTTGTTTAGTGATGGAGATATTTTTTTGCTTTACAGAAAGCGACCCATATAGGACCATTGAAATAAATGATGATGACACAGTAAGTTCTCTCTTGTTTTATCACCAAAATATATGCATACTGTTTGAATTATATGAAATTTTTATTGATGTAATTACCAGTGGTAGTAAAAAATTTGGTCATGGGTTGAAGTCCTGTTGGGATCACTTTCCACAAATCTCTAGCCAAATCGGCTGTCCATCCTTTTGAAGTCCATAAATGAGTACCCAAGGTATTCGCTCTAGAATATCACTCTGGGGGCACAACCTGCATCAGCTATTAGTTGCCAAAACCCTTATCTGCATCAACAAATAAAAAATTGCTTGCTTGCTTGCTATCTGCAAAAGTAGGAATGATCTCAATAATATATAACTTCCACTTTGTCTAAAAAGATCAAATTGAGAAATACTCTGTACCAGAGAGAAAGTTAGAAAAATCTGAGTCTAAAATTTAGGAGGAAGGTTAATGAGTCTACATTGGGATGTTCCTTGGTAGCTTTATTGTGAAAGTCAAACTGTGAAATAATTTGATATAGTATGTATTACAAATTTGCAATATGGTGCATTTACCATTTTTAAACGTGTTTGACAAGTGTTAACAATTTGCAAATATTTTTTTAGGAGGTTGACTTGACCCATGGTGGACTTGAGAAAATAGAAGGATTAGAGAAGTTGTATCAAGTAGTGGTATGTGAATCAAATATCACATTAGAATGATCTAGATTCTGAGAATCCTCTTTACCTTTGTAGCACAATGTTGTAATTTTGTTGTTAAAAATTTTTATTTCAGAAACATTAAATTCTCTAACAAAGTACTTGTGGATCATCTGCTACACTAGGAGTAGAGCCTGACTTATAAACTGTTTTATTGTTGAATTTTAGTTTGCTAATCATTTACTAGTTGTGTAAACTATGAAACAACACATGCTTTGCAGGGGCGTTGTGGCTAGGCAGGACACCAGGTGATTTCTTGTGGGCCCCTTTCAAGTGAGTTTGTAAAACCCAGGAAAATATTTTTCATGTGAAAAAAATCCTTGACAAAAAAATCCCCCACTTACATGTAGACTCAAGTTAGAATTAGAGACTTGGAGGTCAACAATACAAACAGGGCCCTGTGATAGGGATATGTGAAATATGAACAGGGCCACTGAAAGGTGGACAAGGAGGGGCAAACTGCCCCAGGGACTCAAAGTCTAAGGGGCCTCTTAAGGTAAGGAATTCTATTTCAAGCACTGAATTTTAATGAAACGCAACAAAGCCTTAAAGCTGTGCCTTAAAAAATCATAATAAGTTGTAAACTATTGCAAGAAGATGACTGCAAGAAACATTCTAAAATGTATTTCAAACTAATTCAAAGGGCATGGTGGCAAAAATATTCTGCTAGTGCACGCAATTTACCTGTCCCATTTGTGTTTGTTTCAAATGTACACTACATGATACAAACACAGTCCTTAAGAGACTATTGTTAGAGCAAAGGAGACACCCCTATTAAATATAGCAGATGAATCTTTAGAAATGGTATTAAAAGCTGGTATCTTTTTAATATTTCATAGGTGCATGGTTTCCAGGTATGTACCATTTTTGGCAACTTGGGTTTGTGATTGGAGATTTCATACATAAGAGCAGGCCCCTCTATAATAATTTGCTCCTGGCCCTTTTCTGGGAGCTACGATGCCCCTGGTGTTTGGTAAAATCTTTTTCATGTTAATGTTATGTTTGTATATTTTATTTTTTCTAGGTTCTTTGTCTTAGAAGAAATAAAATCAAAAAGATTGAAAACTTAGAGTCATTGACAACATTGACGGAGCTAGACTTCTATGACAATCTTCTTACTGAAATTGAAAATGTGGATACTTTGGTTAATCTTGTGTAAGTTGGAGTTTTTCAACATAGCCTCAACTAAGGTTGACAATTGTCATTAATAAGTTGTAAATATCATATTGGTTTGTTGATGTATGATTTCTGTATTCATGAAGTTCTGCAAAGCTCTGCACAGAGACATAGGAACAGGGGGGTCACTGGGGGCACTAGGGGCACATGCCCCCACTTTTTACAGATGTCCAAAAAGTGTCTTCATATTGCCATGAATTTACTACCTGAAGAATAAACTTTGTATCTTAGCACACCACTCTTTTTATCTGCTATGAAACAAAAAGAGTTTTCTCACATTCTTTGTTACCTTGCTAAGATCCCCTTTCCTCTGCCGGTCTCTGTCTGCAATGGATTTTGCAGAGATAATGGGCCTGGCATGTATGTATCAAAATTTAATAGGATTACCCTTGTCAAACCTGACAATCAACAAAAAGTTGAAGAACCGTTTACCATTTCAATATGGGCACATTTCGATTTTTACAATACCAAATTGTCTTAGGACTCCAGGGACTAGGGGGGCTTATAAGTAATAAATTCCATTCCAAGAACAGAAATAATCAAACATGACAAAAGTGTGTTAAGCATGATTGAAAAAGTTTTCGGGTCGTTTCGCTCGCTGGGGCCTCCTCTTTCCCTTTTTTCATTGGCTACCAAATCCCCTTGCATGGCCCTGGTCAAAAATTAGTCCTTGCTTCAAGGCAGGATTATGGAACCTTTAAGGGATAAGATAAGAGTTGAAAAATATAGCTAGAACAAATTCCCTTTGCACTTGTTATATTCAGCATATTATTATGTACAGATGCTACCTCCAGATGTTTTAAAGCTCGCCAAGACTTATCTAGTAGCTCCTATGACTTAATCTTTGGCAGAGAGATCATTTATGTCTAAAGTAGTTTGAATTCATATCTCAGGAAATTGATGACTGAGAAAAGATATAACAATTTACTTTTTCTTAATACATAATTACAGGACAGACAAACTAGATATAGCTGATATAGTAAAATATTTACCTCCTGAAACTTAAGAAGACAACAGTTTTTTTGTTAATTGTAAATTTTTTTGTAAAATAGTTACATTAGGTTTTTTATATTAAATCTGTTCAGTTCCATTTTTCATCTTTCTTAGTACAAAACTTTTTAACATTCTTAGGGGTGGCTCTTAGATTAAAGGGTGTGGTTAAATTACCCTAAAGCCTCTGTGCCCCCACTATCCTGATGCTTCCAACATCTCTGGTCCTGTATATATAGTGTCAAGCATAACATGAACATTCCTGTGTTTCATGGTCAATCTGTTCCATGAACAATACACCTTTTGCCACTTAAACAATAAATTATTTTCTTTTTAATTTTATTACAGAACTCTGGATTTTTCTTTTAACAAGATTCGAAAAATAAGAAATATTGGCACACTTGTGAAGCTTGAAAATTTGTTTTTTGTTAACAACAAAATCAGCAAGATTGAGAACTTGGCATCGTTTACAAATCTTACGATGTTGGAATTTGGATCTAATAGAATAAGGGTGAGTTTGTTTTTGGAAAGATTTACACAGTTATAAGCTACTTACAGTAGTATGCTGTAATTGTGTGATGCTATTTTTTTATTGATATTATGTTGCAGTGTCATGATTCAATTTTTCTCATAGTATGCAGAAGGGAGGTCTGCTGACTGAGGCTGTTCCCTGGATTCTATTAACCTTGCAATAAAAACTCTGTATGCAATGAAAATATCCTCTGATAAAGCTCCTTATTCCTGGCCATTTACTTTTTAAAGTTTTAGTATTTTCAAATTTGATTTATTTAAACAATTGTTAGAGCACCACAATATTCATGTTGTAAAGTAGACAACCCCATAAGTAAGCTTCCTTCCAAAGTTATCGAGGCTGCTGCTAAACTCTTTGCAATTCCTCCTGTACAATGCTCATTCATTTAGTGTTTGTGTGTCAGAAGTGTTGTTTTATTAACGCAGGAACTATATAATACGAATTTAGTAAGACTGTAGTAGAAGGAGGTGGAAGCAACTGTGAGGATTTCTGGTATTTATTTCGACAGAGACGAAATATGATGACAGTGTCAGTTATTATCTTATAGCTACCATTTTTATCTTTCTGCTGCTTTAATACTTGCCCTTGGAGACAATAACCCTGTTTAAAATGAGTGTTTTCGTAAAAAGATGAGTTGGATAGTATGCATTTTAGGTCTTTGTTTAATGTTGTCTTGATTTTGTTGACATTTGATTTTGCGTGAACATTTTTTCATTCATTATTTAAAGTCTGTTTTATTTGACAGCTACCAAGAATGATTAAACATTCCTTAGTTAGCGATATTTAGAGTTATATTATTCAAGCTTTTTTGTTCAGTTTATAAAGCCATTTATGATAAGGAGCAAATTTTTCTTAACAACTTTACATTCTTTGAAAACGTTTTCTTATAAAACCTTTTACCTACAACCGTATTTGTTTAAAAGTGCACCCCCAAGTTAAAATGCATTGTTGACTACTAAACAGATCCTTTCTCAAGTTTGACCTGTCTCTAGCACCTTAACTTCGTACCGTTTTTCAACAATCATGGCTTCCACATAAAAATTTTTTTACAGAAAATTTTATTATTGAATTGATCTTTTCTCAATCTCCATCCATTGGGCCTGCCCAATAAAGAGTGGCAAAGCCCAGCCCATTACTTTCTGTTTTCCGCATTTTGTTTGTGATCCATAAATTGTTTTCTTCGTCTTTTTCCAAGCCTTTTTTCAAAGTCTTTTCACGAAATTTTAACATCCTGTTTAAATACATGCTGACTTTTAATCGACTTAATTGAATTTGATTGGTTGATTGGATTCTTAGATTACCACATTCCATACCTGTAACTTGCAAAATCTCTCTTCCAAGAAACTGGAAAATCTAGACTCGCTTACAAGTCTCAAGAGGTTGTTTGTTGGAAGAAACAAGATAACAAAGTTAGAAGGAATAGGCAATCTGAAAAATTGAAGTACTGTCAATCCAAGTATGTACCCTTGCAATTTTAGTAACTCATATTATCCTTTCTCTTTTCTATATATGATTCTTATTTGTTACTTATATTTGTAAGCTTTGTGATAGATAACCTGTTATTAGGATGAATTGCATTTTCCTTCCTTACTGGAAGGATCGAAAGTGTATTATATATGCCATTCTCTAGTTGTTTGATCTTCACCCTGAAAGCGTTGCATACAAGAAGAACATATCTGTTTTGTAGTTAAATTGGCAAAAAGCAGAAACCTTATTATATCATTTGTCTTGAACACGTTTTGTTGTACTTATGAATCGAGACGGTAAATTCTCTTGAAGAAATGTAATTATTCTTTGCGATGTGATGGAAACTGCCTAAAAACAAATGTAATTAGGTGTCAAAAGGACTAGTTGTTTGCTAGCTTAATC